AGCCAAAAAGAGCAGACAGCTCTCTTGAGTTTTAACCTCACAGATTGATGTAAAACAAAAAAAATAAATTCTTATCAAAGTAGCCTTCACTGTAGAGGTAGCAACTGAGACACCTACTACAAAGCAATTATAGCAACTGAGCTGTATTGCAGATTCAGTTCAACGTGTTTTGGTTAGAGATTTAATCAGGATTTTCTAGAGATGGCATTTACATTCATCAATTGAGTTAATGCAAAACTATATAAATGGTATATTCCCTTGTAGTGGTGCAATATCATCTGTTTCAACTCTTTCACATTTTTAATAGATATTCTACAGTTTTACTGAAGGTCTTATAAAATTTACTGGGTAGTATTTTGGTATTCTTCTGGCAGTAAAGAAAGAAGCCTCAAATAAAAAGAATGACTTAAAAAGAAGTTATATGGCTTACACATTTAACTTCCAGGAAAATGAAGGCACTCCCTTCCTGATCCCACTCCTCAGGCCTAAAAGGCCTCAGAATATAAATGTATAAAAATAGTTATATAGGATCTCCACCCAGTTCTGTATCCCATGTCTCACAATAGTCAAGCCCAGATGTTGCAGAAGATGGCAGAAGAAAACTTAAATAGCAGACATGGGATCACATCCTTCTTCTCAAGTCTTGCAGCCCCCAATAATCAAAGACAGTCTTCATTCTGGAAGTATGTAATTTTATATCCTGTCCCATTATTTTATTTTCTAATTGGTTTATAGCATTTTTCGGTATTTTTAGAAGGCTAGAGAAGAATGACTGAAGGAGGAAAAAAGCTTCTGCAGTGAGTTCTTAAAATGGCAGTTTCTATTACTAGAGAATTGTAAAAAAATGGGAGGACTGAGTTTCCTAAATTGGGGGGCTATACCACATAGCAGAGGCACCAAAAGCTGGACAATTTCAAGTGCAGGAGTAAGGCAGACAGCCTGGAAGTGCAATTGCAAATGGGCTTTGAAAACCTGAAACTCTGCAGGAAAAGGAGAGCGGGTTTGTTTCTCTGGGCATTGGATAAAGGCACATAATCTCACAGAAACATGGCATCCACTGGCACTCCATACATAGGATTGCTTTTGGCCTGTATATGTATACACACATATATATGAAGATATACATACATTTTAAAATATGCATTGTACATTCAGACACTGAACAATTAGCAACACATTTTCAGTTTGTGAAAAAAACCCAACCCAAAACAAATGATCAAAGAAGACAGTAACTGTTTCTGAGCTGGAAATAAAAGATATAACAGTCTTATTTAGGACCAAGTGAGAATTCCCATGTGCATACAGACTTACAGACGGATTTCAGGGTATTTAGAGTTAACTTCAGCATTTCTATTTTAGTTCATTATTCTAAAAAATATATTTGACAATGATCAAATCTGACATACATCAACGAGTGATGTGATAATGGGAAAGCTCTGCTGTCAAATGTTACAGAAATCTTGGTGTACTGCAGATTATCAGACGAGTCACATCTGTATTTGCTATTTGTATCCCTTCAAGTCCTTCATGGAATTATATATTATTTTAAGCTGGATGTAGTTGTTGAAGGCAAAGAAAATCCTATGTTCTCAACACAGGGTTTACACAAACATTTTCAAGCTGATCTTTAGATCCAATAGCTCAAGATATTATTAGTACTTTCAAGAACCATATAAAGAATTTCCCTGTGTAAAATAAAATGTAACCTTGTGAATAACAAGTAAATGATGGGGAATTTGTATTATGGAGGAAAGTTGTTTTTTTTCTTGTATAGCACTGTTCTCATAAACTACGTGCTTTGCTACATAAGCTATTTATGTATAAAAACGTATATGTAAAACTTCCATCAGGTGAAAATAAATGTGGCTGTTCTAAAATCTGTAAAGATAGGTATAAACTGATTCACCATTTAATGTACTGGTACTTTGAAAGACAATTATGCAAATGAAAGAACTAATGATTGTGTTTTTCACACAGTTCAATAAAAAGGTGGTCACACAAGTTTTTTAAGATTTCAAACAGTGTTTTGGTTGCTTTAAATGACGCATGTCTTGAAACTCTAATGAAGTAATGATGCATTTTTAATTGCACAATTAAAATAATTTTCCATGGTTTCTAAAGGGATTAGTTCTAAAATTACTTGTCTACTGAAAAAACTTCTGCAGAGCAGTTATCTGATATTACATTTCTAGACAATGCCTTCTTTGTCATCTTGTCCTGTTTCTCGTCCATCGTCAAATGTTTACTGAACACAGTCTCCTTTTTGAAATTACTCACTGAAAAGAATTTATAATTCTCTTTAGACAACTTCAAAACCTTTCCCTTAGTAAATCTGCAGCAAAAATCCTGTTACATATTAACAACATTTAGCTCCAGTACACAATGCAACATTTGGGGTGTTTGAAATTAAGAACACAAACCATATTTTGTGCCTTGAGTCCATTTTTAAAAATTCCCTTCGAATAGAAGGGAATACGGTTTTATTAGGAATTTATTCTTAATCAGACCCACTGATGGATGGAAGAACATGGCTGAAACTCAGCTCCGGAGGAATGGATAGGAATGATAAACAGTTATTTCAGTTAATTTTCTGAAACAAATTTCTTCAAGGAACAAGCTTTGTTTCACTTACTGGAGTTTTTTCCCCTAAATTACACTAACAAAAGTTTAAACTTTGTGCTTTAAGAAAATATTTCCTATGATGTCTACTTCTATATTTTTTTTCTATTTCAAAGTAAAACCAAGGAAATTTTGTCTTCCTGATACATTATCTCCAGTGCTGTCAGAAAAGAGAGGGTCTGAAGCACAGTAGCTAATCTCTTCTTCAGCCTGAAATCTATAGTGCCAAATGGAAGACAGAAACTAGAAACTGAAATTTTGAATTTTCAGTGATTCCTATATAAAAGAAAGCCTTAAAAAAAAATTCTGGAAACCATTCCCCCTCCTCCCCCACCTCCCTCCCCCCATGTATTAGAAGTTCCATCATATGCTGTTTCAGAAATGAACTGTGTTCTTTGGTATATGCAGTGACTGGATGAAACTACCAGTGCCTACCCTGAAGCTATACAGTGGTTGTTAGGAACACAGAGGGAGGGCAGAAAAAGATACATTATAAAAACATATTATTATTCTGGAAATTTTCTCATAGAATTGCTGCTATTTTGATGGTTTAAACTTCACAATCTCTTCACTACTTCAAAACATGTCTCTAAAAACCTGTCCTGTATGTGTAAGTCTTTGCTTTGAATCTTCTGGTTGGTCTTTAAGAAACGAGTTACTGTCAGTTAAATACAAATATATTAAAAAAAAAGTCCACTCATAGGTTAGTAGTTTCAGCAAATTATTTACCTGATGATTGGTTTAGTTACATTTGTGTCCCATATTTATTTAGATAGATGAGGTCTCTACACCTCCATTCTATTCTGTATTAATAAAATATACATGTAATGAGTGACAAACTCTCACATGAGCCTCTTTGCAATGCCAAAATAGAAAGTAAATGAAAACCAGCCAGTAAGAGGACTCCAGGAAATGCTGCTCCTGACCGAATGCGTAAGAAAGAAACAACTTCATCAAACTTAGTACTTATAATCTAATAAGGTGATTAATGCTACACAATATTTCTCAATGCAGACAGTAATTTCAAGTCTTCCTTCTTTATTCTGCCCTTGTTTACACAAAAAGTCCCCTTGACAAAGTATCTTGGAGTTCTTTGGCTGTCTATTAAATTTACTGAAACTGGCCAACAGGTTCAAAAGTTGCTGGCTGGATTACTGACAGAGGGACACAGCAGGATTTCCTTAGGAAGTCAGGCTAATCAGATTGTTAAAAAAATATCTAAAGTGAATTACATTTTATTTTCAATTTGCATTATATGAAACTAAATAAAAAGCTTGAGGAACTGAGCCTTTTTTCACCTTTTTTGCCCCTCCCTCCCCACCTTCATATAGTTTCAATTTCCCTTCTGAGCTTATTTTTTCTCAGATTGTCAACTTGGCAGTTTCCAATTTGAACTAATCCTTTAAAAAGCACATTTAGGATATTTCTTACTTATTTTCCTATATAAATATGTGAAACATTAAAATACAGTTTCAATATAAATTTCCACTGCTCATTTTAGTTTTACTGTAGAAGTTCCACAGGCAAAATTTCTTTTGGGGTGGAGCAGCTGACTTTCCTGTCATAAAATGCTAAAATACATTCAATATATGCTGACTTACGCTATTCTGGATATAGGATTGATTTTCAGGTAACAATTAATCATAATGCATTTACCAAACTATGGAAAAATTAACTGTCTTCAGCCATGTTATTATTGTTATTTGTAGTTCAATGAACACTGCTCTTATAAATGTCTTCTGTCACAACCTTAATTACCTAATAGACAACATTGCCAAGTGTTTCAGATTGTTTTAATTAAATTGAGTACAGCGGCACTTCCTTTTCACCTACTATGTCATTATTTAGCCAAAGTACACACATTTAAGACCAGATTTCCACCATAAACCATTTCCTTCAACCTTGCAATTTTATTTGAATCATTCTTTGAATTTCCTTTAAATTCTTGAAATATTTCTGCTTTTTTTTTTTGACTTGATGATGTTAAAGGTCTTTTCCAACCTAGTTGATTCTATGATTCATTTTCTCTGTATGACCTTGTCAGCACAGTAAAGGATTCTTACTCTTTCATTAATGATGCAATACCTAAGCCCCAATGCCATTTGTAATCCCTGTTGCAGCTCTGCCTTTTCATTGTCCTCATCTCTGTAATTCCTAATTTCTCAGTCATCTGAGAATTTTATACTAATATCTCTGGAAAAGTCTTGTGTAGAGTCCAGTTTCTCTCCCAAAGCTACATTTCCAAAATATGTATTCCTGTTGCCCAGTCCTCTTACTGTTCTCTTTTTTGTCTCTTTCTATTTATTTGTTTGTTTGTTTGTTTGCTTGTTTATTTTAAATAGAGGTAAGCAGATGAGAAGGGAGTCATGACTGCAACTTACCAAGAGTTCGGAAAGGTCTTTGGTTTGGGGTATGGGAGAAGAAACCAGGTTTCAAAGCATTTGTGATCACAATGTCAAAATACTCTTCAAAATTGTTTCTAGAAAGTAAAGGAAATTGAATTAAACTTGTGAACTAGCTAGGATGTTACTAAGTACACTTTAAGATTAACAAAATGCCAAAGCACCTTTTTAAGGCACCTTTTTCTGTCCCTTTTTTCCCAGTGCTTGCTCAGTGTCACTACTAGCTGCCTTTTCCTGAGGTTGTAAAAAGTGAGAAGACAGCTGGCTGAGAACCCACAGGGCTGATGGATACTCTTTCATGGAACAAAGAAGTCACAGATGGCAAATCCAGGATGGGCAAAGGCCCTAAAATGCTATCAACAGTAGAGGAAGTTGACTGGAAGCAAAGTAGCTAACTGTGTCATTTTCAAATAATCCACAATCTCCCATAAGAATGAGATACCTTAACAAAAAATTGTATGTTCTCCCTATGAGTTTATCTTCAAGCTTTTATTTTGTGCTCTTAATTACATTCCAGCCTTAAAATAAAATCTTTTTAAACTTCCTTCTTCTAACGAGTAAGATATCTCTTGTACAAAGCTACTGACATTATGAGAGCCTGTACCTTGTGTTACATTGCTACGTAACAGTATACATGATAAAATCTGTTCCACTTACTGCTTGTGCTTGTTTAGTGGTCTGTGATTACAGTAAATGGCTAAGACAAAGGGTAGGATGTATTTCAAATAACATTAGCCATCCAAAAATTGCATGCTGAATTAACAGCTTGTGATCTACACCACAGACAGAGTCAATGAAGAAACATCCACGTTCTTAGAAGGCAATTCTTCCCACTTATTTCAGACATAATTCTATGGTACAGAATGCCAAGGATGATGGCCAGTGTTTTCTCCCCACTAACCACAGAGGGAATCAAAATGACCAGCTTCAAAAAATTGCTTGCTTTTAGGACATGAAATGGTGAAATGACACGCACTCAGCTTCAGTGACTATGTGATGATCTGTCTTTAGGTGTGCTCCTGCTAACACTAAAACAATTAACTGGACATGCATTCTCATGGTAGGTAAGCCTGAAAAGTCACACCGTGATGTTGCTACTTGTGTGAATGAACTGCCACTTGCTTCTGTAGCTTTACATAACTTCTACAGAGATCCCAGCAATACATGTGTGCTCTGCCTGAGAAATGGTTCTCATTTGATTTCCAAAGGAGATTTTTTCTTAGACTTCCTCTCTCCTTACTTGATAAGGACAACTTGGTCAAATGATACCCTTCAGCATGAATTTCTCAGCACTGGTTTTATGTGGACAATCATTTCTTAGCCAAAAAGGAACTTCTTGAATAAAGTGCAAAATTGTTAACAGTTACGAGGTTCTTGAATAAAGTGCAAAATTGTTAACAGTTACGAGGTAAGGATAGTAGGAGTAAGAGGCTAAAACTTCACACATATCTCTACTTTTCATCTTTATTCCCAGTTTTTTTTCGATTTAGTATCTGAACTTCTCTGTGTCATATTGATTAGGAAAAGAAATTAATAAAGGACTACACAGACATAATTCATACGGGTTGATATCAAGAATAAAATGCAGTTAGCCCAGTCTATTTAAAGTTAAGGTCAGACATAAGAGGTGTGAACCTAAAATATATTTCAGGACTGCAAAAACTAGCACAGATGTGTACAGTCTTATTGTCTGATACAAGAAGCATGAAAAAAACAAAAGGAATTAAAAGTTTATAATTATTTTCAGGAAAAAAAGACTTCAGTAATGTCTGATGGACACTGGAGTACTTGTTCCTCCAGAAGATGTACTGGAAGCCACATCGCATGAGTCACTGGAAAATATGATTGTAATAAACACTGCAGAACATCCTACACTTATGTGGAAAAAGAGTGATCCAGTATCCTTCTAGCAGACATCTCTCTTCTGTCTTTTGAGAGGCAACTGACCCTCTCTGCTACGTTGTTTGCTGTCTTCCAGTAGGATCTCAACAGCTGCCTTAAACACCTGAAACATTATTCACCAAGGAAATGAAACTCAAAATCATTGTATGTGGCCAAGAATTTAGTTTCATACCAACTTTTAATTCAGAAAACAACTAGACAGTTCTAAACAAAAAAGTTCATACACAGGCATCTTACTCATAAGCATAATTGATTTTTGTGAGGAGGCAGATTTTCCCCTCGGAAGAACAATTATAATCGTTCATGCAAAGCAGTGAGAGCTGGCACAGCTGGTGCTCCTTTTAGCATTCAGCCCCAGGAATATGAAAGAGAGTGAAACTGGCAGGACTGGTTTTGGAAGGTACCTCTGTTTTTCACCTTACCTGTGGTTTTCTTACTGTGTTGCTGTATTCACTCCGCTGTTCCCTTGCCCATCCAGATAGCCAAGGTTGGCTTGCATTGCACTACCTTGTTTCTTTGATTCATTTATTAAATAGTCTTACCATATCACCCACCTAGCTATTTGGCATCACTGATTAATTAATTTCTAGGGGTGTAAGTGATAGCTCTGCTGAATTTCACTGAATTTGACTTGAACAGTCATGTTCTTAACAATACAGCTAAAAATATCTGTTGTGATGAGCAACTAAAATCTTAACCAATTGCCAAGTGCAATAAACTACCTGTTTTATCTTTTCTGCTGTGGTCTGTAAATGCACATTTCTCATGCACAGCAATCTCTTGGAAAACCCCACTGGGAAGAAGCATTTGTAAGCTTTTACATGCAGATTTACTGCAAGGAAATGAAATATTACTATTACTTGCACTCACCACTGGAGAAGCACAGAAAGGAAGTGACTTGAATACGGCAGTCTAGCAAAAATTTATGATAAAATTGGGATTCAGACGATATAATGGCTGTGGGCCTGAAAGATATTCCCTGTCATCTTCAATCCCATCATGATGCTCAGAAAAGATGAAGGATATTAATGTGCCATGAATCAGATACAGCTCACAGCCTCATAGATGGACTACTTTGCCTCAAGTACCCTATAATACTCTACAAGAGAGAGGCCCACCAGAAACCTCAGATCCAAATAATTCCAACACATAAAGAAACTCAAATTAACTTCCCTATAGCTCAGGCTTATCTGCTATCTGGCAGGTATAATTTGAAATGGACGTTGTACTTACCCAAGAATATGTTCACACAGGAGTCTGCAATAGTCACTGTGAGAACTAGTAATTAATAGCAGAATCTTCCTAGCGCTCTTCAGTTGTTTCAGCCACTTTTTTACAGACTCGGGACATCTTTGTAAATATTTGTCTGGATGATTTTTCACTTCTGGGAAATACGTACCACAGTCTTCTAAAAAATTAAAACATAATAATGTATTATCCAATCCTGCTCACAAACTGCTTCATCCACACAACAAATATCCTTTTATGTGCAAGAAACACAAATTTAAAAAGGCAAAGAAGCAAAGTTTAAAATTTTTCCTGGGCTGTAACTCAATCTAAACCAAAAACCCAATCAAACCAAGAGGATACACTGCAGCAGAAATAACTTTGTATGACTTTTCTCTTTTATTACGGAATTTTCATAGCTATTTTGTTTGATGTTCTTTTGCTCATAAAAGTAAATAAATATAAATTACAGACTGTAGTCTTACAAAGCAAATAATTACTTCCTGTTGCAGTTGCTCAATTTGTGGATACTCAATTTGTGATTTTAAAGTTAGTTTAATGTTTAGAAAATGGGAAGGACTTGAAATTCCTAAGAACATCTGTTCAGTTATTTCTGACACTTCGGGTCAGCATCGTCTGATCAGTAGCACCCTTTTAAATATTTTTGCATTTTTCATAACTAGTACTATGAAAGGTGATAAAACTTGCAAAGACTCACATGTGGAATACTGGGAATAGATGCAATCTCCCTCCCCAGTTCCAGTTTCAATAATGCTTTTTGCTGAATATAACAGCAAAGGAATTTTGGAAATACACTTGGAATGTAAGATTTTAAGAAGTGTGCAATAACACTAAGTTGGCAGTAAAAGTTACCTATTCACTAAAGTCACCAATAAATGTTTACCTTATTATAACCCATAGCTGATTAACCAAGTTGTCAAATTAACATTAAACTTACCTTTTCTATCATTCCTATGATCTAAGACTACATACTTTCTCTGTGCTCAAACCTACTATAACCAAAAATGTCAAGCTAGTTAAAGATCTAAAAGGAAATGTAGTAATTGTAGAGACAGAAATGATACCAAGTATTTGGCTCTCAGGGTGTGCGTTATACTATAATGAACATCATCATAGAAGATTACTTTTCTTCCAGCATTTGTTCTATATGCAACTGTCTGTGGTCAACTTTGCTGAATGATTTAATAAATCCCAGACATTACTTAGCCTTCTGGTATGTGAGTAATGCTGTTCTCTAGTTTGCGAAAATAAGATTTAAACCACTTGAACTTTAGCTATTTAATGAGAGAGAACATGTATGTTTGAAACACTAGTATCAAAGAAAGACTGAAAGAGCCTGGGTGCTAAACATAGCACTATTTCATAAATTACACACTCAAACACCTACAGATGACAGGGAAAAAAGTTTCCTAAAAGAAGTTCTGAACTGACTGTTATCGCTGCAACTAGAAAGGAGGCAAAAGTCTTATTCTGTACTATAAGTTGACAGATGTCTTCACAAAAGCTAGAGAGCAGGCTACTATATCTGACAACAGTTTCTCAAGCAAAATTTCCGAACTCATAACCAGGTCACTATTCCAGCTCTTCATAATATTTAGGTCAGGCTGCGTAATAGCCTATACCAGGGGAATATGAGCCTGTTCCTGCCGCCAGCATTAATGCCATGACATTTGCCTTGAGAGCTAGCCAAGACCAATGATTTTTTTGATTAAAATAAGCTGATTTACAAGAGAATGTTACTTGTAGTGTTCCCTCTTCCTCTTCCCTTGCCCCTCCTCTCCCTTTCTTGGGGCATGAATAATGAATATTTGGGATTTGCAATGTAGTTTTTAGGAGTAGAAGCTAAATTCCACCACCCCCCCCCCCCCTCCCTTTTAC